ACCGTTTGTAGTTAAGGTTACAGGCAGGGCACAGTCCAGTCCTTGAGAAACAGCAGTTTCATCATAAATCGTTTTCCTTTACTGTCAGAAGGCTTTTAAGCCTAGGATGGAGGTGGGCTGGTTCATTGATGCCGAGCTGAGTGAAAGCCTTACCTCCCTTACCATTTCTGGGTGCTTACAGAAATGCTAGCTTGTACTTCCTGGATTCCACCAACCGTGAAACAGGGAATCAAGCACATGGTTCTGGCATCATCACCCACCCTGCTCTCTGTACCATGGGCTGTGTGCACCGTTAGTATTGGTATTCTTCACCCTGTGTGGTCTGAGGAGACTGACAGCTACTTCCCTGGAAGCTGGTGTGTGGTTCTGGAAAGAGACCACAAAGCCCCCACCACATGGAGTCTTAGTCCTCTTTCTTTTAAAATCCCCCACTTGAAAATTAAAGAGGAGCACAAGCTTTAAGTCTGACACATTGGTAAGAGCACAAGAAGAAGTGCCTCCCTCCCTCCCTCCTCCCTCCCTCCCTCCCTGTCTTCTGCTTTATAAGTGATCTTTTTTTCTCACTAACTCAATATTGCATCCTAAGTCGCCTGGGTCTGAGTTGCATCATGGGCAAGCCAAGGAGTGGGGCAGGAGGTGATGATTGAGGTTGATTTTAGCTCAAGCCTCTCAGGAGTCCATCCTCATAATAGACGCACCACTGTGAGAGGAAACAGGGGAAGCTGGGACTTCAGTGACTTTGGTCAGTAGGGGTGAATTCCAGGAGGCTCCCCAGCATCAACCCTGACCTATGCAAAAATAAGAAAAAAATAAAAATAAATGATGGGAAAAGGGCTGGCACCGCAAGTGCGCACGCCTGCCTGCCAACAATTCACACACAGCTGGGGGGCGCTCTGCTGGAAACCAGCATTTCATTTGCGGCTTCATTTGCAGTAGAAAAGTTGCTCCGTGTAATAATGTCAGCCACTGACAGTTGGGAACCAGTGGCTCCTGGAGTGAGGCCCCACCAAACAAGCAATTTTCACTTTGCAAGGCAGAATGACCCTGGGGGCTAGGTGCTGGCGAGGAAGGGAAGTGTGGGTGTCTGTTGGGGCAGGTTTGGGCAGGGTGTCCGTGGGGCTTCTGATGGCTGTTTCTGGCCCGCGCGGTTCTTGCCACTTGCAAAGCTCTTAACACCACAAACACATCGCTTTTGTGGTTTGAGGAGCTCTCAGGAGCCTACCCATCTTTCCTGGAGGCGGAAAGAGGAGGGAGGATGGCAGGCAATGAAAAATAGCAAGTGGAAGAGACCGCTGTATAAAGCAACAAATAGAGCCTCAGGTGGCCCCAGGAGTGCTGGTATCTGTCTCAGATCTGCCACAAGCCAGACAGCGATCACAGCTGTCAGTGCTCTCTGGGTGCAGATGGTGCAGGTGGCTGAGGGCAGACAAGGAAGTCTTGGTAGACTTCCCTTATGTTTCTCTTAACTTTCTATGCTTAGTTACTCTAAACTCTCATGGAGAGAGGAAATGGGAAAAGGAGAAGATGGACAGCGAGCGAGTGCGCGTTCGCTCGAAAGGAGAGGCAAGAAGGCTGGCTAAGGAAGGCTGCCACCATAAAGAAAACATCCACACAGATCCGCGGAAGGTATTCCTCGCCGAGCGCTAAGTTCCCTAAAGTAATCATGATTACCATCATTATCATAAACAACTGAAGTCCTGATTAACTTTGTAAAGGGCAGCATCCGGCGGATGACTCAGAAATGCCCTTCCTCCCACCCACTTTCTGCTCCGGAACCCAAGAGGATCCCTCCCCTGCGAGTGCACAGCTCCTTCTCTTCACAGAGACCCTTGCTTTGGGGGATCTTAGGGAAGAAAGGGGAAGCCCTTAAGCACCTTACCCAGGCTATGAATCTAGACAGATGGTGTTGGGAGGCTTAGTGTGGAACAATCCAGAAGATCTGAGGCCACCCTGCAGAGAAGGTTCTGAGCATCACATCCTCCGCTCTGAGGCCTTAGCACTCTGTTTATTCTGAGGGGCCGTACCTGGTACCTGCTGGCTGCTTGAGACTGGAGGGCCACGTATGGACTTCAAGTTTACGTTTTCACGGAAGACTTTTGGACTTCTCTGCTCTATTAAATCTCCACCGGCTCAGCTGAACTCGCTCCGTCAGCTCACCTGACCCTCAAGGACCTGCTGACTGTTGATGCTTTTGTTTCTCTGGGCATCAACCTGGCCTCTTTTCCTCTCCAGTTCTGAGCTGCAGCAGAGCTTGTTGAGTCTGAATTTCAGACCTCTAACAGTCTCCTGTAATGTTCGCAGGAGGCCCAGAATCCCCTGCGCTCACCCAACACAGGAAATGTCTGGCGATCCTCTTGTGAGAACCCTTCTGTTTTATTTAGAATATGCTCCAGAGTCTAAAATGTGGTACAGGGGCTGTGTGACCCACTGAAGGACAATTGCTGCAAAGAAGTCAGATTCCAACTTTTGCAAGGGATTGACAAGCTTAAAAAAGAAAAAGATGAAAAAAAAAACAAACAAACAAACAGAAAATGACCCAAACCAAGTCATTTGGAATTACCAGTTAAAGTAAATAAATAAATAAAAAATATTGTGAGAAGATCCAAATTTAGACTAAGCTAATCCCAGTGATTTAGATGAATAGGATCATATCAGCATGTGGCATCATGATGCCGACTGAAGAGCAAGGTGGATGTGAACCTGAGAACAATGAGAAAGGAACCATCTCAGAAGCCCAGATGAGAAACCAGGTGGCTGCCTCTTTTAAGAACTGCCAGCTGGGGAGATTTTTAAAGCAGTTCTCTGGATACAGATAGTGTGAGAATGCCCCCAAGAAGGTCTATAAACCACCCCCTGAGAAGGGACTGACAGTGAATTCACTAGTCAGTACTAGGAGTGTTGTATCCTTGAAAACCCCAGAGACCACCAAGGAGCTGGTTTCTGATGCAAGCACATAAGGGTCCTTTTACTGTCAGGTTCAACCTGGGCCACCACACAGCAGATGGAAGGAAATGTGGCAGTGGCCACAAGCCCAGGTGTATAGAGTTTTTATAGGGAAAAACCACAAACCAGGAATTACGCGCTTGGGATTGGGTAGAAGGGATATGGGGCAAGGTGATTTTTTTTTTTTTTTTTGAAACTATTGGCTAGACTTTTGGTGAGAAGCCACATTTGAAACCATTAGGCTAGACTTTTGGTTGGGAATCACAACCCGCTGAACAGGATTGTCTGGATTGGTCAGTGGGATTATCTAGATATCTTCAAGGAACCTAAATGGCAGGCAGAATGTCTGCAGGAACATACTGCTCTGTATCTGTTCCAGTTGTCATGGCACATTCCTGAGGTCCTTCCTGGAACTGAGTACAGCAGGTGGTCTAAGATGGTGGCCCTACCCTAAGATGGGGGTCTGTATTGCCCTCACAGGAGAAGGGTAACAATTTCCTTAGGTAGATATTGAGAACAGTTGTATTTGTAGAGGACCTAGATTTTGGTGTCTAGATTTTTGTTTTGTTTGCATTCTGTAAAATTGCTCCATTGCATTTTTAACATATAAATACAGTAATTTTTGCTACCATACAAATTGTTTTCATGGAGTCAGGTTTTGCTTGCATGCATTTATGTGCATCATGTGTGTGCTGGATGCCCATGAGAGTCAGAAGAGTACATTGGATTCCCAGAACTAGAGTTATGAATGGTTCTGGGCCACCATGTGGGTGCTGGGAACTGAACCTGCGTCTTCTGCAAGAGCAGCCAGTACTCTTTAACTGCTGAGCCATTTCTCCACCCACCCACACCATGCCCAACCTTCCTTTCTTGGGGAGAATGCATAACAAACCCACTGTGTGTTCAAAAGGGATCACTGGCAGCCAGGAAGCATTAAGCAGGTTTGGAGTACTTCTCACACAGGGGGTCATGTGCCTCTGCATTAAAAACACCAGGAATCTTTGCTGAAAGTATTGATTCCCAGGGGCCCAGAAAGGTCTTCTCATCTTGGACTGAGGCCCAGAAATCAGAATTAAGAATCAACATTTGAGTATGAATCACTGGTAACTATTTTCTAAGGCTAGGTGAAAATTTTCCCACCCCAAATCCTCTTCTATTAGTGATCTTTGTGGCCATCCCATTAGGAACTAGGCTCTATGACCCCACTCCTTCAGTCTGGATACAGATATAGATGTTTCCAATAACAGAGCATTATGGAAGTGAGATTCTGAGGTTTCTGATGCTCATAAGAGCAATGACTTTTCCTCTTTCTTCTCTCCATCCATCTTGCTTGGAGTCCTGAGCCTCCATGAGTCCACCAATGACAAGAGCAACTGAGCACTGTTTGAGGTTTTTAGTCTTGACCAAGAATAAGAGAAATAGGAGATCTCCCAAGCTTCTCAACCATGAGGAGCTAGGGAGATCATAGCTATAGAACAAAATAAACGAGAAGAAGGAATGGGTTAAAAAATGGGAGGAATATCTGCCGTTTCACTGAAAATAGGCAGAGAATTCTGTTCCCTCTCCCACAAATACTCTTTTCTCAGTTCTTTCTAGCCATGGCAGCCATCAACAGTCATGGTGATGGGAGGTATGTTATTTAGAATGAAGATAAAACTATAATGAAGTTAAAGGTTGCCTGGAGATCACTCTGGCAGATATCTTAGATCCAAACAGCTCCAACATACCTTTAGAGGGGCTTCTGGCCTCGGGCAGCCTGTCCTCTAAGTTGAACAAAGCATGGCAGGGATTCATCTAGGCCACATAGGCAGTATGTAGAAAGGGAGCCAGAGAGATCCCTCTAGCATTCTAGTGGATACATCCCATCTTCAAGTCATTGCAAATATTTGAGTGATTCTACCCTAAAGGACAAGCCCTCCCAAACACTCTAAAGATTAAGAAAAATACTGACTCTTGTGTTGTAATGACATTAGTGTTAACTGTAATCATTTATTTTCTCCATTAATTTAATAAGATATTTCTATTTTATTAATGATCTACTATTGCCATATTCCTCTAAAGATTTAAAGATATAGAAAATACCAAGAACTCTCTCAGTGTCATAGATTGTACGTTCTAAGGGTGGCAGGGCAAGGTATGTCTGGGGTGAGTGGTGGCAGGGTATATCTAATGTTTTATATTATATTATATTATATTATATTATATTATATTATATTATATTATATTATATTATATTATATTATATTACATTACATTAATAGCATAACATAAGGTAACATTAAACACTGTGAAGACAAGAAAACAAGGTGTTGTGACAAGGAGGCAGTGCTGTAGGTTAAGCAGTCAACAAAGGCTCTTATGGGAATTGCTTGAGTGAAGCCCAGTGTTTACTTTGCTGGGGCTTCTCTAAAAAGCAGTGCAGCTGCTTTTCTGGACAGAAATGTGTTATCTGGTACTCCTGGAGACTTGCTGGCTGCCACTCATGGAAATTAGAATAGTACATTGGATCTCTGGAACTAGAGTTACAGATGGTTTTGTGCCACCACGTTACTAGTTTGTCTAGGTTGGAGGAGGCATCTCCTTGATCTCTGCCTTCCTCACTGGGCACTCTTTCTGTATGGACATCTAGATCCCACATTCTCCTTTTTATTTAGGAACTCATCTAGCTTGACTACCTCAATCATGATCCTATATTGGAGCAAACATACCTTCTGAGTTATGGGGCTAGGACTCCAGCATGTACATTTTGAGGAGGAAGGACACAATTTAATTTTTAATTAGCTTTGGAAGATAGGCATTCAGTGATATAGTAATAGCAGACTGTGGGCATAGCAGAAATAGAAATTAAATCAATTAGGCAGTCAAGAAGAGACCAGTGGTCCATGATTGGCAGGTTGGAGTATCAGCCCCATTACCACCCTGAACAATACATCAGCTGTACTCAGGAGCTGGAGGAGCTCAGCTGTTGTATGCAATCAGGTCCGCTTTCAGCTCATTCCCAGCTCATTCTCCTCTGTGTCCACACTGGCACAACTCTTGCAGGCGTTTATTTTCCTGTACATTATTACAATGGTTTTTATTGACTTTTAGACTTTTAGAATATAGTCTTCCTTTTACATCCATCCTGGAAACCACCCATGGAATCATTTTCCAAACCCCAAATCTGATCCAGTCCCACCCATCCTAAATGCCCTCCATTATCTTGCTGTAATATGTAGAACAGAATCCTCCATATCCTAGATGTTTATCAACCCAGCTGATACTAATACAGCCAGTTCCTCCAAACTTTTACCTACCATTCCCCAGACTCACCGACTCCTTCTGGGGCCTGCTTTTGCTCATAATTTCACACTTTTGCCATTTTTTTCTTCATAAACACATCTCATTAAACAAACAATATTGTCATCCTTCCTCACTGTCTGCTGGATGTCTCCTCACTCTCCTGTGCCTGGGCAGAATGAACTGTTCCCCTGCCACTGTTCGCTTAGTATTTTGATTAATATTTATCACTCTGGATAACATTTGTTTGTGCATCAGTCATTTGTCTCCCTTGGTCAAGGATGAATTCTCTAAGACTCTAGTATAGCAGGCATTCAGTAGATGACTATCAGCCCAATTTACTGGAATACGAATAAAGGCATGAATCATGGCCCTAGGGTCACCCCCATAACAATCACTACCCTCTGGTCACTAATTGCACAGGAATAGCATGAGCGTTCACATAACACTCTTATGGATGTCTTTGTTACCATCAAGATGGCTTAGTACATTTGGTATCTAGACACAAAGTCAAGGATCAACATTGTCACAAACCATAATGCTGTGTTCAGACCATCTTTAGTCTTTCTGTGTCTTAGTTTTTCATGTGTAAAATAGACATTTGATGAGGCTAAACTGTGGTTCTTTCATTTGTTGAAAACTTGTCGTTAGACTCATCTTTTATACTTAAGCCAAAATTCTTTTATAATAGCTTGTGCCTCTCTTCTTGTTCTATAGTCTTAAGGGGTGCAGGTGTAGGGGTGCTGTCGAGATCCTCCTCTATGTTCCCTGCTTCCTGTATGAGATCCTCAGATGCCGATGTTACCTACAGCAGACTTCAATCCTGTGTGTCAGAAGGAAATGCTTAAGGGTGTAGATTCAAACACTTCTGTATTTTACTCATGAGCTCTTGGCTTGTGGTAAATTGAAGGCGCTTCTCTAAAAATCCCCGATGTAGGAAATGGTGCTGAACTTTCCTCCCAGCCTCCTGGACTCTCTTCCATTAATTTCCTTCAGTCCTCATTAGCATGTTTCTCCTGCAGACTTGGAAAGCTGGAGAAATTCTTGCAGCTAATTTAACACCTGCAGGTTTTGAGAGTTGGTAGAGAAGATGCATCAATAAAATAATCACTTGCTTTTTCTCTCTGAGATTTTAAATGCAAACCCTTTAAAGGTTAGACTTTTGTTACGATTTCTATTTGTGTTTTCACATCGAGTCATATGTTAATTAATGCTCTTGTCTTTTCAAATGTAAAGAGATGAAAAAACAAATCAGAATTTTGACATATGAATGGCCATCTAGGAGAAGTAGCCTCATGTTTCAGATGCAGGCTTGGGCTTTTCTTTTTCCACAGAGCTACTGAACACCTTAGAAATCTCCCATGATGCCAAGGGCCAAATACAAGTATGACCCAGGCTATGGGCATTAGGGGAACAGGTGGAAGCTGGGAAGCTGTCTGCTTTAGTGGAGGGAATGGGTTTAGAGTGTTACCAAGAAGGGGTGGGTAGGAAAATCATAAGAAACTTAAAGCACAGGTGTTGCTCAGTGTGCCATGGGGTGTGTCCAGATAATCCCGTCCTAAACTGAGGATATCTTAAGTAGAAAATGCAGTACATAGATCTCACCTTCCAAACATCTCAGCCTGACAGCATGATCACATGACTGCTTGGGATCTGTGGCAGCGGCTGCTGCCCAACACTGTAAGTGGTTTATTCTTACACATTGCTAGCCTTGGAGAAGAGCAAGTTCAAAATCTGCAGTCGGTTTCCTACTGAATGCCTATTATGTTTGTCCTGTCACAAAAGTGGAGCCACCCAAAGTTGAGGACTTTCCATGCAGTGTGTGTGAGGCATGGCTACGAGGGTGCGGAAGCCTGGTCTTCAAAACACCAAACCAAACGTTAACAAAACCCAAGTGAGGGGCAGGAATGCTGTCCAAGAGCATTTGAAAGAGAGATTTTGAGTTCCTGCAGGAATGAGGAAATGTTACTAGGGAGACCAAAAGCTACTCTAATGGTACCCTTAGAGCAGGGCACTATGGGATAATTCTCAGGAGGAGCTGACCGAGTTGTTGGAGTGGGCTATGTGTTGACAGACAGTCCTTCCTCTGAGACTGCTTAAAGCATATCCTTAGCATGTGGAGAAAGATGCCAGACAGAGACTAGGAGAGTCTCATCCTGGGAGCACCCAAGAGCAAGTGGAATCTAGTTATACCTCAGTATCATGTGGAGGATTATGGGAGTTAGAAAAGTAACAGAGTAGAGATGTGCCCACAGTAACACTAATAGCCAGGAGCCGTTTGGAGACACAGAGACTGTAGGGCCTAAGACAGACAAGGAGGAAATTAGTAATGGGGGGCTACAGTGAAGCTGTTACAAGCACTTTAGGGAGGAACCCTACACCGACTAGGCTAGGCCAATCGTGGAGAGTTTCTCACTGGGTCCCGACAAGCCCCATGCAGTCCCACAGCCCACTTATAAAATGATCACTCAGAAGCTTATATTACTTATAAACTGTATGGCCATGGCAGGCTTTTTGCTATCTAGTTATCCTATTTCTTAATTTATCTTAAGTTATCCTATTTCTATTAAATCTATAAGTTGCCATGTGGCTCGTGGCTTACTGGTATCTTAATATCTGCTTCTCATGGTGGCAGCTGGCAGCATCTCCTCACTCAGCCTTTCTGTTCCCAGAATTCTCCTCTCTCTTTGTTTTGCCTTAACTTCCTGTCTGGCTACCGGTCAATCAGCAATTTATTTATTAACCAATCATAGCAACACATTCAGAGCATACAGAACATATCCACAGCACTACTCATTCCAGGTAACTCACTTAGGAGGTGTTTAATGGTAAAAAGCCGGGAAAGGAGATTTAATCAATGTGGCCACCTTGGGAAATACTCATAAAAGGATTCAGGGAACTCCTAGTCCACCTTCAATGGGACCTTAGGCTTAATGAATTAGCCAGGGATAGAGGTAGGCATGATCAAGCATCTTGCTCAAGGTGTGCTTGGATTGGTCATAACCCCAGTTCTGATTCGGCAAGGTGGTTTGAAGACACCCTTATTGCTTGAGGGGGTCAGAGAGTATAAGGAAGGGCAGTGAAGGAGGGGAACAAATGAGAACAAAGTATAATAAGGTCATGACCCCATCCAACCCTATAAGGGAGGAGTGAGAACAAAAGCAGACCACCTCCAGTACAAAGCCATGCACCTCCAAAGCTAATTAGGAGAGACAGAGATTTTAAAATGAGACATCTGTTTAAAACCTTGTTGCTACCTTAATTTCTGAACTAAGAGTGGAGAGAAAGTTCAATCATTTGTCTGGGTTCTGACTGTAGGAATGGGAGGAAGATTCAACAGAGTATGGCTGAAGGCATGGATGAAAAACATCAAGTGGCAAGAGTTCTGAGTGCTTCTTTCAGGAAGTCATGATGGCATCAGGGTGTAAGGAACACATGTGACCATTAGTAAACACACACAAGAGGCATAGTCAAGTTTATTCACAATTCTCCATTGCCTAACTTTTCTTTCCCCAGCTGCCTGTACAAAGCACCTGTTAAAAAAGTATCTCCTGACTACTTAATGTCAACCCTTATGATCACAGTGTCTCCTATGAAAAGGCAGGGCTTCCCAGAATTCCCAGTTTCCTCCCACCAGACTCACCTGGTACTTCACACACCAGGGTGGAATTAAGATCTCAGACTGAACTTCTAGGAGGAAACAGAGGGAATGACATTGGTTCTCTGGCCCCATTTACTTTTTCCTTTTGCAGCTTTCTCATTTGTGATACCCATCTTTCCATTTCTAGTTTGAAAATTGTCTTATAAAAACACTTCATACATTATAATTCCTTGTCATACATAATACAAGTAAAATTTTTTTTTTGGTTTGCTACTCCTCTGGCCTTATTTTTATTACTATAAACTTCTAAAAGTTTGGAGGCTCTCACTTGTCAATCTTTTCTTCCTAAGCACTCTATTTTTAAAAGCCTTGTATGTTACCTCTCCTTCTAGTCCTCAGCTTTCCTGACTGTGTGTTGCCCATGCCAGCCTTTCTCCTGTATTTGCCCATTGTTTTATGGGAGGACTTCTTCTCTATGAGGAAATAGGTTCTTCACATATAAGAAATAAAAACACATACCAATTGGGTCCTGGTTTTTCCATGAAGGTCTTTGTTGTTCTTGTCCTTAAACGTTGTTGATTGCTTGGCTGGGTATAGAATCCAAAACAATGTCTCCTTGGAAATTTGAGTTATATTATTGATTTTCTGCCTAGAACCCAATGCTCCTGATCAGAAATGGCTGTTGGTCTATTTATCTTTCCCTGAGTTATTTCCTCTTTGTATCTCTTGAAGCTTTGAGGAAATTCATTTTGTCGTGTAAGTTAGGAAGTCTTTGCTCGGTGGGTCTCTAGGTGTGGCATTTTCTTATATGTTCTACTTTATTCTCAGTAGACATTCTGTCTTAAGAGTCTATTGTGTGTCAGCTCCAGGGATTTATTGTTGTGTTTAATTTCTCCAATCATTTTAAATTTTTTGATTCCTCCTTTTCTTCCTAGAAAGTCTTTTAGATTGGTCTTAGTCTCTAAGGTTTGCTGCATGTGCCTCCGCAGTTTCCATGTGTAAATTTCACTTTCCTTTTTGCTCCAAGTTCTAAGATTCTTGACCTTACTTTCTATTCAACAACTTGGTCATCATCTTTGTCCAGTTTTCGCCTCCATCTGGTGAAATCTAAATTCCATAGTGATTTAATTTCAAAATTCCTTCTTGTTAAATGTTCCACCAGGTTTAAAATATTTTTGGGTTAATGTCTTTTCAAAAGGCATTAGTCTTAATCTGTAGTTACAAATATTTTCAAGCCAATCAGCAGAGATCTGAATATTTAAAAATAATTCTAACCTTCTTCCTACAGATTATATCTTTTTCTTCTCTTCTGAGATGATTGAGTTTCCACTGATTCTTCCATTTCTTTTTCCTGGTACTTTATTATTTTTCTCTCGTGCTTTGCAATCTTTCTCAGCAAGTGCTGTAACGTAAATGACATGTATAGGTAGATGATGTACATTTTTCTCGACAGTTGTCCATGTTTCTTTCACAAAAGGCCTCTTCCTTAAAGAGAAAGACTAAATATGAAACTACAACCTGCAAATATGACAGCCTGCCTTGGACTGTGTGGGGACCAGGAACAGGGAAGGGTTAAGGATCCCCATAATTGCCCATGCCAAGTGCTTTTGAGAGGGGCACTCCTTTGCTATTTGTCTTGCTATTTCCTTAACTCCCTTTCTAGAAATCTCCAAGTATAGATAAGGCTATGATAACCATTTGTCTGCTTTTGTCACCAAGGGCTGGCATTTGATGCCTTTTTCTTTGAGTCTGGGAGGCTCTGTAAGCATTTTGATTCAGAATACAACCAAAGTGATGCTATCAGTTCTGGGTCTCAGTCAACTCTCTCTCCTTGTGTCTTAGAACACTTACTATGGAGAATCCATCTGGCATGTAAAACATCCAACTATCCAAAGACCACCATAGTGTGAGGAAGCCCAAGCAGCCACAGGGAGTTGTACAGTGATGAAAGATGACCAGACTACAGATTTTCTAGATACTTGAATGGTTTGCTCCCAGGCACAAGAATGAGGAAACTGACTCCACCAGCCTCATCTCATCTCTGCCTGGACCTGATGGAGAAAACCACTAAGCTGAGCCCAGTCAACCCACAAAAAGGTAAGAGTTGTTAGTAAGCCATTGTCCTAGGCATTATCTTTTAAAGTGATATTTTTCAAAGCAATAATTTATTGTTACATATTTTTCATTGCAACAATATGAGAACTTTCATCATGAAGTCTTTTCAAGCTACTTTTTTCCAGAATACAATAGTAGCTGTTATCAACTCTCTTTTGGAGGTAAGACCCCTTGGGAGGGTTAAAACATAGTTTTTCTATAAAAGACTTGAAGATGAATGCTAAGTCTGTTCTTCCATTTGAAAGCATTAACTTGGCCTTCCTTTCGTCTTTGAAAGGTCCTGAGCTTGGATCTTGTGCTCTGACTGTTATATGTTCGCTTTATTTCTGTCTATTGGATAAAATCAGACACCCTCCATGAAGCCCTCAAAATTTAAGAGTTAGTAATCCATCCCACGTCCCCATGTGTGCTCTGTGGTGTGTGTGTGTGTGTGTGTGTGTGTGTGTGTGTGTGTGTGTGTGTGTGTGTGTGTGTGATTTCCAGGCAATCCTGGGAAGAAATCGTAGTAGTGTATGCTCAGCTCAGACTGCCATCTTGAATCAGAAGCCTAATGAATTCTAAAACAGAACACAATGGTAAGAAGGCTCATTATGTGTTTTATTTACTTCCATCTTCATTTTGGATAGTGTTAGGAGCACTGAGCAAGCGAAGAGTGTCCCTTGCCTACTAATATTTTATAAAAATAATTATCTAGGGGAAATTCATCCAAAAAGTATACTGCAATGAAAATCTCCAGGAGAAAGTGCTGCATTGTCTAGTAGAGTTGAATCTGGTCCTGTTTCTCACATACAGACTTGAGTAGTGGAACAGACAGTGCAGATAGTGAGAGGACATATGATTGTACCCCCAGGATGAAAGTTCTATAGCTAAGTCCTTGATGTTCTGTGAACCTGAGGAGTTTATGATATAGATTGCAGGCCCTTTGAGTGAAACAAGAAAGTGCCAGAATACTAGCTATCTTTTTGCTTGATTATGTTGAAGATAAGAGATACACCTTTGGGATGTGACAGGAATTGGGCAATGGCCCCTGCCAGGCTCTAGACTGAGTTCAAAGGTCCCAGCTAGGAGAGAGAGGTGTCAGCAAATGGCCTGATTCCACTTTTCTAGAAGCCATGAGACTTTCATTAATTCGGTTGCTTGTCACGCTTGTCAGAGTTCCCTCACAGATGCAAATAACCCTTATTTAGAGAGTAGGGGCTTAATTGGTTCTCTTTCTATTTTTAATGCACTAATCCTCCGGTCTCTAAAGTCTGGGCTAACATTTGAGGGAAGGGCATTGAGACCAAGTAGAAAAAAAAAAACTATCAAGACGGACGATGTAACAGCAAGGGATCAGCCGGTTTTGACAGGTCCAGAAGTACTGAAGTTCCTGAAAGGGAGAAAATGTTGGTCTCTCTTAAAACTGATGTATTTTGTGTATTTGTTGATCCATTAATTGAGAAGAACACTTGACCATATGGGTAGTTAAGCAATCAAGGAAGGCCACAGACACTGGGGACCCAGTCCTTACTTTTGGATCATTGAACTGACCCAAACTTGAAACAGTCCATGCAGGAAAACCAAAGCCTCATAATTCACACATGTAGTCCTTTTAGATGGCTCTAGGTCTTTCCTGTTGTTTTTGTTAATATTCAGATGAGCTTATTAGATGTTTCCTTCTCCAGCAGATCATCAAGTTATTCCTTCCTACTGACACGTTCCTTCCTGAGTTTCCAGTAAGTACAATGTTCTCAGACCTTGTATTATTTTCAGTGATGTCTGAGTGACCATGTTGGGCTGGCGCCTAACACAAATATTCCTTTGACCTACCTCTTACTCTGTCCATGTTCTCTCCTGACTTTCTGAAGAAAAGAACTGCAAGATATGAGTCAGTGATGGCTTAGGAAGGATCAGACACAGACCCACCCCCAAAAAATCAATAGAGCTTGGGAGAATACCATTGTTAAAACCTTTTAAGGCTCCTATCTGGATAGACTCACCATGATTTTCCACCAACCTTTCTCTTAGAGCAGGTATTTTCAAACTTGAATAGATTTGTGAAATCACCTCGGGAAATCAATTAAAAAATCAGATGAGAAATTCTGATTCATGGTTCCAGAGAAAGGGCTGGAAATGGCATTTTTAATAAGGACACTCTCCCCCCTCCACGCCACACTAGCAAATGTTGATGCAGGTGGAACACTGACTCCATGCTGAGAAATGATAGGCACACATTAAATATAGAAAGCCCTGAACAGCATGGAAAGCTAGATGTACTTACTTACTAGGAGGAAGGTCTTCAGAAGGAAATGCACACTTATTCTGTTATGGAGGGAAGGGGCAAGGACCTTTCTGCCAAAAGGGGATGGATGATGGATACTGAGAAAAAGTTCAGATTAACTCATTGCTGCTTGTCCCAGACAGCCACATAAGGAGAGGCTAGAGAATAAATGGGTATGCTTAAAATAGTCCTTGGGGGACTGATGGGTAAAGGTACCTGTTGCCAAGCCTAATGACTGAGTGTTCAACCCCAGGGATGTTTATGGAAGGAGAGAACTGACTGCTGCAAATTATCCTCTGACCTTCACCCACATACCATGGCACTTGACACATGCATGCATGTGTACCTATGCACTCTTGAGCGTGCGCGCGCGCGCGCGCGCGCGTACACACACACACACACACACACACACACCCCAGAACCCACAATAAATACATGCAGTTAAAGTGTAAAAGAAACAATGTTTAGTCCTTGAGGAAAATGATCCCATAAGAGCCAGGAAGAGAGACAATAACCTCCAAAGAAAGAAGCTTCACAGAGGACACTGAGTTTAGCCATCAAATGTATCGTGTCCTTAGGAGAAACATCCCAGGAAAGGAAAATGAGAAAGAATCAGCTGAGATGTGTTATGTCAAGATGGTTTTATCTTAACTTCCAAGTCTGATCAATGGCTAGTGCTCCCAGGGGCATTTTGTTAAGAAAGACTGTAAAGTCATTTCTAAGAAGCTTAGCAGAAGAGTAAACATTGATTGATTAGTTATGTCTGCCCTGGGCAAGCAAGACAATCAGGTGCATCCTTCCCTGCAATCTCTGTTTATAATATTATTGGAGTTTCACTATAGCATGAAGAATCAATCTCTCTCTCTCTCTCTCTCTCTCTCTCTCTGCAATTTCTAGATGAGGGAAGATTTGTCACATGAACAATTATAAATACATTGAGATTATGTTTACATTGCTAAAGATGGCAGCCTTGCTAAGAAACTTACAAGTGCTTGTCTGGTAGAAATGTAGGCCCTTTGCCCTCATCCACTACTCATCACTAGATTCTCTCAGTCAGGTCTTAAATCCTCCTTCATTCTTTGAGTTCTATGAAGAAAGACACATAAGCTGGTCACTTTGAGTGGCCCTTCATTTCTGTAATTAGTAGGCATTGCCCCCTCTTATCTCAGTGATCTCCTGATTTCAAATCACAAAAATGAGCTGCATTTCCTGAGTGGGTGGTTGGGTATGCTTACCTTCAAAGAGCAGCCTCCTTTAAGGTACCTACTTGAAAAAAAATAAAGTACATATAATTGAGAGGCTAATTGCCGATCAATCAAATCTCTTCATTCAAGGGAGTACCTGTCAGCACTTCGTAGGCCTAATTCGAGTTAATGCATATGTGTGAAGAAATATAACTACAGCATAAGATGTTTTTAAAGAAATATAGGTTGCATATCTTCAATAATTAGATTCCCCTCCCTTTCAGTTCAGTTTTACCTTCTTCAACTGCAGTAAATATGTGTCTTAGTTAGGGTTACTATTCCTGGGGTGAAAAACCAGCACCAAGCAACGTGGGCAGGAAAGGGCTTATTCATTGTATGCTTTCCCATCACAGTTCATCATCAAAGGAAGTCAGGACAGGAACTCAAGCAGGGCAGGAACCTGGAGGCAGGAGCTGATGCAGAGGCCATGGAGAGGTATTGCTTGCTCAGCCTGCTTTCTTATAGCATCCAGGACCACCTGCCCAAGGTGTCCCATCTAAGATATGTCAGGCCCTTCCCCATCAATCACTAATTAAGAAAATGTCTTACATGCTTGCCTAGAGTCTGATCTTATGAAGGCATTTTCTCAACTGAGGCTCTCCCGCTCTGATGACCCTAGCTTGTGTCAAGCTGACATAAAACTACCCAGTATAACATGTTGGTTGCTTTCTTGCCACCCTTCTACCAACTATTTTTCTTTCCCTAACATTTCCCATTTTTTCAGGATGTGCTGGAAATGATGATTCTACCCATTTTAACAAGTTGTGCATTTCCTCTGTCTGGCTATAGTGACAGGGTCATTCAACATTAGCCAATCCAGTTAAAACAACACATTGCACTTTTGTTGGGAACAAATATGGATAGTGTCTATTTCTTGCTGGAACCATCTAGCCCTTGAAACTTTTGCAAGGCATTTTGGAATGAAGAGTTGGACTTTGGGAAAACAACTGTGTTTGGTGAAATGCTTAAAAAAGAGAGAGAGGCCGGGCAGTGGTGGCGCACGCCTTTAATCCCAGCACTCGGGAGGCAGAGCCAGGCGGATCTCTGTGAGTTCGAGGCCAGCCTGGGCTACCAAGT